CTTTTCATTTCGACTTTGACCTCCAAAGTCGAAACATTTCGACTTTTGGGTTTTCATTTCGACTTCATGTATAGTAGCAACAGAGAGTTTATTAAAAAATATCAAGCAATACTCATCGTCATCTATGTTTATTTGAAGAGCTGATGAGAACAGAGATTGTTTTGCAAGCGAATCTACTTTTTCATTGAAGGTGTCTCCTGAATGTACTTTCACTTTGATCAGTGAGACAGTAAGATGCATCTTTTTTATGGTATTGAATATGCAATGCCAGATGTGAACATTGGTTATCTTTAAAAATGGTCTTTGCGATAGTGAATAGTTTAACAGATTCTTATATTTGTTGAATTGTGCAATAACTACACTAGAATCAGTGAAAATTTTAATTCGACATTGGGAAGGAGCTACAAGTAGTGCTGTAAATATAGCAGCCAGTTCAGCGACTGAGGAAGACGGGAAAGAGGAAGTGAAGGCTGATGAATAGGATATAATTGATGCAGTAGGCAAAGTTTGGAGCCAGGCAAGACTCATTCTAATTGAAGGCTTTCCTAAATTAATAAGTGAGCCATCGGAATAGAATTCAAAGTCAGAAAAATTTGTAAAATGTGAACTTAAAGCTATTAATTGTGAAGAATGAGAGGAAAGAATATATATTTCTATAAGTGTAGGTGAGGTTAAAAGAATGTTAGGAAGTGTGAGAGGCGATCTTGATGCAGTATGTAATTGTTTGTAGAAGGAATTAGCCAGGTCTTTTAATATATCCATTGACTATGAACAGAAGGGCCCAGACTCAGACCAACTATAATTGACAGGAATGGTAAAACAAAGATTAAGTGGGAGATTAGTGAAACATAAATTGCATAAAGTATTAACATTTGTAGGTAAGATTGTATATGGATTATTGATTGGATATCTATTACATTCTTTCAATATCATCTTCCGTTGTTGATTATGTGATAGGATAAAGTGTTGTATCATGGTAGAGATATTATCAGACTGTTGAAGCTTTCCAATAATAGATTGATTATTGCTCAAATTCCAACCTACAATAAAAGATTGTTTGCCAGGAATCTTGTTTGCTTGCGTGAAATCAAAATAACATTCTTTCAAATGTGAAACCTTTTAATGTAATTCGCCTGTAATGGGATTCGAGAGTGATTCTTGTAACTTTATGAACCACGCTGGTATTTTTCCTATATGCAGAGTGTTTTGGTATACTGAGAGGTCAGCAAAAGTAAGCATAGCTCGACCGTGTGAATAGGAAAGCTGTTCCAAGAATAGTAAAGAATATTTTCTTAGATCAGTAGCAAATTCTTTGTACTGTTCGGGAATTACTATGTATAATGGACTATTCCCTCCTTTGATGATGTTATGAAAAGTTGTTAGTATTTGAATTGTGATTGCAGATTGTTCCATTCACATAAAGCATTAGCTATCCAATCTGAATCTTTTGAAGGGGTAGTGTAAGGCCAACATAATAACAAAGAGCTAGCTAACCATTCTTTTTGTTGGAGTTGTTTGAGTCTATGTTTGGTAGTAATACCCAAAAGATTATTATCATTGATTGTGAAAAGGAGACCTTCACTATGCGCAGCAATTAATAGGTGATGTAAGTTGGTCAGATTATATAACAAATGTGAGTGCAGAATCGTATGGGATGTGAAACGCGTTAGATATAATTTCTTTTTCATAAATGCTCTGTAAGAAGAAACGATTTAGTGGCATTGTTGGTCAGTGAATGTCGTTAATTGTGCTCTATATTCAATCCTTGGAACAAGAACAGTATTAAATATATATGTAAATTGATTGTCAGTGAGCTGTTTTTTAAACATTATTGTGACAGCATTTTTAACTTCGCTTTTGACCAATTTATTGGTAAAGGTTTTATTACGTCCGAGTGATATCCAAACTTCCAAGTATTTTGTAGATTCATTGAGTGAGAGTGGAGGGATTACAGTAGGTATGCTATTGATATTACATATAAATGTGTTATCATTGCGTTACGATTTATGAGTAAGACAGATTTTTCCCATTTTACTTTAATAGAATTGAGTTGGTAAAAGCTATCCACAATATATATAATTTGGTCCAAATCCTCCCGTGATTTTGCGATCCACAGGGTATCATCCATGAATGCTAATGTTGATGTTTTAACGGTGGTGGATTCCTTGATATTAATCAGAACGTTTGGTTTCCATGTATGTGTAAGAGAATAGCTGTGCTCTGAATTTTGAATCATACATAGGAGAGGATCGTAATAAATACACCATAACAAGGGTGAAATAATTTCACCTTGGTCAATACCAGACATCACACGATATGTGTCAGTGTTATCAAACATAGTGAAAATTTGGTTGTAACAGCTTCTGAACATTTTCATAATGAAATGAATAAAGTTAAAAGGGACATGCAGTCATTCTAACACTTTGATTAGCATAAACAAATTGACCTGATCATATGCTTTGAACATATCTTGTAACAAAATCCAAAGCTCACTTTTGTTGTGTATAGCATCATATTTGATGTTATTAATAATATGAAGGGGTTCAAATGTTGATTTAAAAGGTAGGCCTGCGAAGTTGAGTCCTTTTAAGATGTCATATTTGACCAATATAGTGGAAAGTCGACAATTAAGGAGTTTGATGAGTGCTTTACGAGAACTCTCAAGTAGCGTAATAAGTCTTGTATTATTCAAATTGTATTCCCACGGTTTGGATTTTGGAATTGGATAAATAAACGCATGATTCCACCTATGTGATAATGATGATATTGTAAGGCAACCACAAATTATGAACCATAAAAGTTTGCTGGAAAAAGGACCCAAATGTTTTAACATTTCATTCAAAACTTTAGAAGGACCTGCCACTTTATCATCAGGTAACAAATTAATGATGTTGTACCATTCATCAGCTTCTAGAGGAGTCATTAGCTCATCATAAATTGAATTGTCAATACCTTCCACTGGTCTATATGACGGGATCTACTCATCAATAATTTCAACATGCTCATGAGACGTGTCAGCTACCATTTGAAAATGACGAGCCACCCCTATAAGAAATTTGTATACGGAATTGTATACGGTAATAATACGTTTTAATATTCGTAAAAAATGTATAAAATATACTAAATTATGTATAATATGTATGTAATTATTACGTATACAAAATAAGGAAATTGTTAAAATTATGAATATATAAAATTCGTAAATTACGTATATTGTATAAGCTATTTCAGTATATTAGATACGTTTTATCTGTAAATATTATATATTATTTTCAATACATTTGACACATTATTTTCAGTACATTTGATACATTATTTTCAATACATTTGATACGCTATTTTTCAGTATATTAGATACATTATTTTTCAGTACATTTGACATGCTATTTACAGTATATTAGATACATTATTTTTCAGTATATTTGATACTCTATTTTTCAGTACATTTGATACGTTATCTTTCAGTACATTAGATACTCTATTTTTCAATACATTAGATACGTTATTTTTCAGTACATTTGATATGCTATTTACAGTACTAGAGCTCTGAACAGGTTAGGTCAGGTCGGGTAATTGACTTGAATTAAATATACATTTGACCTGACCTGACCTGATCTGTCTAAAAAAGGAAACTAAACAATTATTAATTTTGTTTAATGTTTTTTTAAAAAAATATAAAAAAATATTGATACATTTTTACATTTGATTATTTTTCAAAAGAAAAAGATACTAATATAATAATTTTAACTGCAGAATTTAAAATTACAAGTTGCAATAAATCTGCAAATCTGGTGACTGCTAATTCAATTACAAAAAA